AGATTCCTCAAGAGAAAGATCTTTAGAATCAGCAAGTTTGAATATTTTTCAACCGGCAAACGTCAGTAAATCTAGTTCCAGGATTCTTAGCAAAAAGCCAGAAACCGTTGAATATAAAATTTATGGTATAAAATATAGTGCAACATCTTATTGATTTTTCTTAATGAAAAGTAGGAAATTCGTATTTCAAAAGATATAATACAATTCTGAAGTTATAATATTAAAAAATTATACTATCAGAAAGCTTTACAATTTTCTTCAAATATTTGAAAAATTTTAGGTCCGCCGAAACCGCCAGGAGCAGGTAAAAAATCTTGGCTGGGAGAAAAGGAGGCTCATTATATGATAGCTAGAGTATCCCCTAAAAATTTAGATGATTATCCTGTAACTTACGAGATCGCAGGCGTAGTCAATGTGACACCCAGCAACAGCGATGAAAAATTCTTTGCGATGCTGAAACTCAGTGACCAGACCAAAAAGATTTTTTCCAGTGGCAGAGAAAATCTATCAATAAATTGGCAAGAATGGCTGCAAAAGGCCGATGAAAGCTATAAACAATTGGAGGAAGAAACTGATGAGTTAATCAACAGTGTGCAGGCAATTTTAAAATCGGTATTTCCACCTTTTTGCGATAGTTGCTGTTCCTGTCGACAAACTAGAAAATTTGAAGAACAATTGCAACAAAGCGAGATTAGCAAGGCATTAATTAATGAAGAGGAAAATATGTGAGAAATTATTACTAAGGCTAGATTTAAACAAAATTATGTAGATAGATGGTTGTTTATATTGTCTAATCTATAATGTTTATTATATAATTTATCTTTTATGGTCAGTTATTAATTAAGTAGATTACAATAATTAGCAATTTTAATATAAATTTCGAAATTCTTCAAAAATGTAAATGTTTACATCTTTGAATTTTGACATCCTCTAATTCCAATTATAGAATTTTGGATTCTAGAATTCTTAAAATCCACGGTATTTAAATTAAAATTTTTTTTTATCCTGTAACTTACGAGATTGCGTGACCAATGTGACACCCAGCAAGATTGATATGTTTTATAATCTTATAATCCTTTTAAAACTTCTCTTCAAGGCTTAAAAAATTATAGAATTTTGAAAAATAATATTTTAAAAACTTAGTGATGCAATGATCATAAAGTACAAGAATATATTATTTTTGACAGACATATTGCTGATTCGATGGCGACACAATCTTCAGAACAAAATCCAATAGAATTACCGATTAATCAGGTTGCTGAGGATGAGATTACAACAAATATAATTCACCCTATTAAAAATGTTCCACCTTGTTCATGTTCTATTCAGCAAATGACTCATAAGGATGTTAGTCTATCTATAAACAAGGAAAACATTCCTTGGACAAAAGAAGGATTGTGTCCCGGAAAGATGTATAGACCAAAAGAACCAGGTGCATATTCTTGCAAAATGTATCCTGAAGATAAATTCTGTAGGCATAATCCTTTCATGAAGGAAATAATCAATATGGAAAGAAGAAAAATAGAAAAACAAAAAAGAGAAGAAGAAGAAGAAGAAGTAAAAAAAAAGACAAAATTCATTGAAGAGATTAAAAACGAGATTCAACTTCCAGTAAAAGACATTATAAAGAAAAATAAAGATAAATTTATTCCTAATCCTGATTATCCTGCTTATGATGATTCTTGGAATATATTACGAACTGCGCCCTCAGAAATAATTAAAACAGATTATGAAGCAGACATGAAGTTGACATCTCCAGAATGGCCTACAACTTCTTTACCATTAAAAATGCAAGAGAGGCAAAATGACATCTTCTCGAAGAAAATAAAAAATGATACTTTAGCCGAGAAAATTGATACAAAAATCTTCTTAAAATTATCGAAAAATCTTCAAAAAGAAATAAGCAAAGGAAAAAAAGAAATAAAAAATAAAAACAACCCAAAAATAGAATCGATACCTTTAAAGAAAATGACATTTAATAAAAAAGGTACAAAACTGTTGAATACAACTTCCGAATCAATGACAATATCCAAAACGGAAAAGAAACAACAAACGAGATCAGCATTACATAACAATCCAACTGAGCAATCTAACAAAAGTTTTAATAAGCTAACTGAACATAGTTTTGTGAACAAAAATGAAAAGAAAAATACAGTAAATAAAGCTGAGAAAATTGAAAATCGCAAACGAGAAATGGCACGGTTAAAGAATATGTTCAAATCTTCCGCGGGAATTTTAGGAAATATCCAGCCGGCGGTTCTCCCAGAAGAATTATTGGCAATTAGTCAACATAATCCAGAAAAGAAAACTGAAAAGATAGATTTTTCAACTATTGATGACGAAGAAGAGATACGTGGAATC